AAATTCTGAGATCACCATTGGATTCCTCTCGTCGAAACAAGTCGAGCCCCATTGGCCTTGCGTCAATCCGACATCATACGCGCTCTCACGGTCCTCGCCGGAAGTTCATCGAAAAATTCACCGGTAGTCAAAGCTCATCGGAAATCGTCGGAGTTGCTGCCGGAAGTTCGCCGAAAAATTTTGCCAGACCGGTGATCGGAGCAAGGTTGAAGACGACAGAATATTCCACTCCGTCAAAGAATATTCCATTCAGAGAATATTTCCAGAGCATATTCTATCCAGAGAATATTCCATCCAGGGAATATTCTGCCACCGTCAACATATTCTGTCAAGTTTAACGGAATATTCCGTTAAGTTACCAAAAATTTTTCGAGTCAATTCTGAGCTCATTTTACCTCCGTTTTTGGTAAACCAGGACTCTTTTCCAGCTATTTCAACCATTCTAGACGTAACGGTGTACTCCGTTTTACAAAATTCAGTCCAAATATTTTTTTGATTGAGACATTTAGAGCCAAAACTCAAAATGTCCACGGAGGATTCAACATCGGGAGCCATGATCAAACTCACTGCCTCTAATTATACACTTTGGAGACCTCGGATGAAAGATCTTCTAAGCTATAAAGACTTGTACGATCCCTTGGAGGCAGAAGGTGTAAATCCAAATCTGACAAAAGAAACGGAATGGAAGAAACTGAACTAGAAAAACGATCGGTCAAATCAGGCAATGGATTGACCATAGTGTATTCCACCATGTTGCACAAGAGATTGATGCATATATCCTCTGGAAGAAGCTGGAAGATATGTACTAGGCCAAGATTGCTCGGAATAAAGCCCTTTTGATGAGGCGATTTGTGAATTTGAAGTTAAAAAGTGGAACTTCAATTGCCGAGCATACTAGTGAGTTTCAAAGTCTAGAAAATCAATTATCATCGATAGAGTTGAATCTGGGGGATGAAATACAAGCCCTCTTATTTCTCAGTTCTCTACCAGACAACTGGGAAATGTTGGTAGTCTCTCTCAGCAATTCGGCTCCAGGAGGCAAACTTACCATGTCAATAGTTAAGGATGCTCTTTTCAACGAGGAGGCCAGAAGAAAGGATGTTGGCATTGACCAGTCAAATGCCCTAGTCACTAAGAGCAGAGGCAGACAACAAGGAGGTAGTAGAGGTAGGGGAAGAGGAAGGAGTAAGAGTAGAGGAAAGTCACAAGATCCAGGGAGATCAAATGACGGAGGAAGACTTACATACAAGTGTTACCATTGTGGCTTGCAAGGCCATATGAAGAAAAACAGCTACAAGTTGCTATGAGAGCAAGGACAAGGCAGTAATCAGCCGAAGAAATAGGACGGAGAAACACTAGTCACTCTCGCAGATGATGTGGCTATTTTTTCTGTCAATGAGGACATGCCTTCATTTTTCTAACCATGATGCTGAGTGGGCGGTAGATACTGCAGCTTCATACCACGCCACTTCTCACAACGATTTCTTCTCGACGTACAAAGTCGAAGACTTTGGTACGGTGAGGGTAGGAAACACCAGTTATTCCAAGATCGTGGGAATTGGTGATATTCAGATAAAAAAAAATGTTGGCTGTACATTGGTACTGAAGGATGTCCGACACGTGCCCGACCTTTGGCTAAATCTACTTTCCGGGGTAGCCCTTGACAGACAGGGCTCCAATAACCACTTCAGCAATGGCACATGGAAGCTCACGAAAGGTGTCATGGTTGTCACCCGCCCGAGGACATATTTATGGTATGCTTTACAAGACACATGTGAAGGTTGGCTTAGATAGCCTTAATGCAATTGAAAATGAGGCTTAACCAAATCTGTGGCACCAAGACTCGGTCACAAAGGGAAAAAAGGATTGTTTACTTTGGCAAAGAAGGATCTCATCACGGTTGCCAAGGATGTTGCACTAAATTCTTGTAATCATTTCTTGTTTGGTAAACAACATCAAGTCTCGTTCAGTTCCTCTGTGAAGAGGAGATCAGAGTTGTTAAACCTAATACACTCTAATGTTTGCGGTCCCCTAGAGGTGGAATCATTGAGCGGCAACAAATATTTTCTGACCTTTATTGATGATGCTTCACGGAAGGTATGAGTGTACTTCCTAAAGACGAAGGATCAAGTACTCGAATGCTTCAAAAGATTTCATGCCATGGTAGAGCGAGAAACAAGATAGAAGCTAAAGTGTCTCCGAACAGACAATGGAGGCGAATATACTTCTAGAGAGTTTGAAGCATACTGTGCAAATTATGGTATCAGACATGAGAAAACTATTCCACGTACCCCACAATACAATGGAGTAGCAGAGAGGATGAATCGAACCAATGTGGAAAGAGCCCGATGCATGCTCAGTATGGCAAAGTTGCCGAAGCCATTCTGGGGTGAAGCTGTTCGTGCCATCTATTATCTGATAAACAGATCACCGTCAGTACCATTGAATTTTGATATTCTAGAGAAGGTGTGGTCTGGTAGGAATCCCTCATATTCTCACTTAAGAATTTTTGGGTACAAAGCATTTGCACATGTATCCAAGGAGCAAAGGCAGAAACTTGATGCCAAGACCACTCTATACATCTTTGTAGGCTATGGAGATAAAGAATTTGGATACAAATTATGGGACCCAAAGGCCAAAAGGATCATTGGGAGTAGAGACATGTAGAGACATGGTGTTCCATGAAAACCAGGCGTATGAGGATTTTGAAAATCCCACAAAATCCAGCAGTTCTAGTTCCAGTGCACAGGACATTGTTCCAGACCCTGCACCATTACAATTTGCCATAGACAATAACGAAGTGCAGGATGAAGCTACAGAAGCAGAACAAGATAATTATGAAGGTGTTGAGCAGGGGGAGCAACACCCCCTCCACCTGATGTTGCAGGACCATCACAACAACCAGAGGATGATGTACCTCATATAACTGACTAGCCTCAATCACGAAGATCCGAAAGAAGACGAATTTTGTCGAGTAAATATCCGGAGTCAGACTATATTCTGCTTACTGATGAGGGGGAGCTAGAGAACTTCTAGAAGGCACAAGCTCATACGGATAAAGACAAGTGGATGCAAGCCATGTAGGATGAGATGGATTCTCTGCAGACAAATCAAACCTATAACCTATGAGCTTGTGAAACTTTCAAAAAGGCAAGAAAGCACTGAGAAATAAATGGGTGTTCAAGCTGAAGAAAGATGGCAGTGGGAAATTGGTGAAATATAAGGCTCGATAGGTAGTTAAAGGATTCCAACAGAAGAAAGGAATTGACTTTGACGAAATTTTCTCACCAGTTGTTAAGATAACCTCAATTCGAGTCATTCTCAAATTAGTAGCCAGTTTAAACTTGGAGCTTGAACAAATGGACATGAAAACTGCATTTCTTCATGGAGATCTAAATGAAGAAATCTATATGGAACAACCGGAGGGTTTCAAGGTTCCAAGAAAGGAGAATCTGGTCTGCAAGTTGAAGAAGAGTCTATACAGCCTCAAGCAAGCACCTAGATAGTAGTATAAAAAATTTGACTCATTCATGGTGGGTCAAGGTTACAAGAGGACTATTGCAGATCAGTGTGTTTACGTTTAGAGATTCTCATATGGTAATTTCGTTGCACTCCTATTTTATGTTGATGACATGTTGATCGTCGAAAATGATGCAATAAAGATTAGCCAATTGAATAAGGAACTGTCCAAGTCCTTTGACATGAAGGACTTAGGCCCAGCTCAACAAATACTAGGCATGTAGATTGATTGTGATAGAAAAACCAAGAAATTGTGGCTATCACAGGAGAAATACGTTGAACGGGTGATCCAGAGGTTCAACATGGATATTGCCAAGCTAGTCAGCTTCCCACTGGCTAATCATTTCAAGCTGAGCAAGAATTTCTGTCCCTCATCAAAGAAGGAGATAGAAGATATGACAATGATTCCTTACTCTTCAGCAGTTGGGAGTCTAATGTATGCAATGGTGTGTAAAAGACCAGATATTGCCCATGCAGTGGACATGGTGAGCAGATTTCTTTCCAATCCAGGAAAAGAACACTGGAAGACGGTCAAGCGGATTCTCAGATACCTTAAGGGTACATCAAAGATATGCTTGTGTTACGGGGAAGTTGAACCAGTTTTGGAAGGCTATATAGATTCAGATATGGCAGGAGATCTTGATAGTAGAAAATCTACATCAGGATTTCTTTACACTTTTGTAGGGGGAGCTGTGCCATGGTAGTTAAGGTTGCAGAAGTGCATAGCTTTATCCATGACAGAGGCATAATATATTGGAGCAGCGGAAGCTGGTAAGGAAATGTTGTGGTTAAAGTGATTTCTCCAAGAACTAGGTATTAAGCAAAAGGAATTCAAGGTGCATTGTGATAGTCAAAGTGCTTTGGACTTGAGCAAGAACTCAATGTACCATTCTCGGACGAAACATATTGATATTCGCTATCATTGGATACGTGAAGTGATGGAGCAACAGTTATTGAAACTGGTGAAGATCCACACAAAGGAGAATCTAGCAGACATGTTGACAAAGGCCGTTACTCGGGATAAGCTTGAGTTATGCAGAGACATAGCTGGAATGAATGTTTGATTACATTCTCTTCTGAAGGTTCTGGAGGGGGAGATTTAAAGGTTCCAGTTCATCTAGCTCCATCAGAAGGCTACCCAGTAGCTGACTCTACTACCCAGTAGCCCATGCCAGTAGCCACCCTATGGACGGCTTGCTGGTGGACTGTAGACATCTGAACTTTGACAAATCTTACCAAAACTTTAAATGTGTTCCCTCCCTTCTTGACTTATTTGGCCAGAAAACTCCCAATAAATAGGAAACTTAGTGAAGGCCAAAAATATGATTTTTAGATTAGTGAGGAAGAAACAAAGAGAGAGAGATTCGGGAAAAATCTCGGTGAGAATTTTTGTATAAAATTTTGTATTTTATTTCCAGCGTGGAATAGAGATATTCTCTTTATTTATATCTTATTTGTGATATTTTTTTGACCCCGGGTAACCAACATTTCTCTCACCGTCCACTACTACTCTCTTTCCCCCATTCCTCTCAAATTCTCTCTTTTCCCACTTTCGTCTTCCTCATCTCTAGCTTTGTTCTCTGCTTCAATTCACGAAATCCGCTTGGTACAATTCTTGCAGCAATTTGGTCAGTATTTTAGAATTGAGCCACCACAGCAACAAATCCAATGGTTTTTTTAGCTGATTTAATTTTTCTGTTGGGTAAGTAGCTGATTTAAAGTTGATATTGATATCTTTACATAACTCTATAACATTTTGAAGATTAATTATCTGTGATCCCTCTCTTCATTTCTCTACTTGAAAGTAACAGCAAATTTCCTCTGTTAATTTGCTCTTTTTTTTTTTATAAATAAATCCTCCTTTTTTTGCCCAAAAAATTAGCATATACGTAGCTCTGAAACTGGTTTGGGTTTCAATAGTACAACGGTTTGTGTGTATAGCTGTTGATTTGATTTGTTTACTCTACTTTGTTGTGGTGGTTATAGGGCCTACAGAAAGTTGTTTTGAATTACTTGTTCAGACCTTAATATGTTGCATTATCTGGGCACATTTTAGTTGTTGTTCTCTGTGCCAATTCTCTTTGTGATGTCACAGTCATTGATAAGGTCCTAGAGATATGAACAGAGTTTTTGTTTCTCTGGGTCTTTTGATGGCGATTTTTGTGAATTTGATGTTGGTACTCTTCAAATTTTTTTTATTTTGTATGCTTCAAGGTTTTAACATACTGTTTTTTAAACCTGTTTCTAATTACTTCTCCTTTCTTTGAGGTTTAGTTTCTATATTCTGTCATGTCCCTTTCTTTGTTTGGATGTAGAAAAAAAGTCAGCTTATTCTCTAAATTTTAAAGCGGTTGAAGCTTATTGGGTCGACTTTTGATTTGTTGTAGGGTCTCTAAAGCATCCATGATTATGGATTCACGTTTCACTGAATTCTCTGATTCATTAAATGGTTTCAAGTTTGACGATGCTGCTATTTTACCCAGTTTTTATCAGTCTCAGAATCTTACTGAAGGATTTGAATTTCAAGATGGTTCCTCAGATCTCAGTTTCAGGGTTATTCCTTCCCTCCCTACCAGTCCAGATTTTTGTAGTTTCACTCCATCTTCAAGCGCGAGCTCGGAACTAGATTCTCCAGATGATCATGATTCAGATCCTATGCTCAAGTATATTAACCAGATACTCTTGGAGGAGAGCATGGAGGAGAAGCCCAACATGTTACATGATCCTTTGGCTCTACAAGCCACTGAGAAATCATTGTATGAAGCCCTTGGTAAGAAGTACCCTCCCTCGCCATCGCACAACCAGCCACCCTCATTGTACATCAACCAAAATGTTGAAGGCCAGGAAATTTTTTTTGGAAGCCACACCGAGTACAGTATGAACAGCAGTAGTAGTGGTGGTACTTCTAATGCTTCTCAATGGATTGCCGATCCTGGAGAATATAGACTGTCTGTGAGAGAAAATCATCCTTTGTATTCTTTCCAGTCAACTTTGCAGAACAGTTCACAGTGGTCATTGGGTTCCATACACAGTTTCAGTGATAGTGCTGATAGGCAGGTGGACTCTTCTGCAAGTGCTCATCTGATTCCAAATATTTTTAGTGACAGAGAGTCTATCTTGCAGTTCAAGAGAGGGATGGATGAAGCTAGCAAATTCCTTCCTAGGGGTAGTCAATTAATTATAGATTTGAATAAGTACAATTTGCCTCTAGACTCGGAAGACGTGGCTCTGGAGGTAGTGGTCAAGGAAGAGAAGGATGAGAGGCATTATTCATCTGATGGCTCGAGGGGAAGGAAGCATCATCATCTGGAGGTTTGTGATTTAGAAGAGGAGAGGAGTAGCAAGCAATCAGCGTTTTATGTGGAAGAGGCTGAGTTATCAGAGATGTTTGATAGAGTTCTGCTCTCCACAGATGTTACACTGGAGCCTGCGTCTTGTAATGTTGATGAGGACTTGTCAAATAGGCCTGACAATACCTTGTGTCAGATTGGACAACCAGATAGGTCTACTGGTGGAAAGGCTCGTGCTAGGAAACAGGGCAATAAAAGTGAAGCTGTGGATCTGAGGACGCTCTTGATAAGCTGTGCACAATCTGTTGCTGCTGGTGATAGCATAATTGCTTATGAACAATTAAAGCAGATTAGGAAAAATTCTTCACCTTCCGGGGATGCTCATCAGAGGTTGGCCAATATCTTCGCTATAAGTCTTGAGGCACGCTTGGCTGGCACTGGAAGCCAGCTTTATGTAGCCCCAGATTCCAAGAGGATATCAGCTGCTGAGAAGTTGAAAGCTTACCAGCTCTATCTTTCATGCTGCCCATACAAGTGGATCTCAATTTTCTTCGCTAATAAAATGATTTTGGATACATCATCGAGAGCTTCAACGCTGCACATTGTAGATTTTGGTATCACATATGGTTTCCAGTGGCCCATCCTTATCCAAGACCTTTCAAACAGGCCTGGTGGACCCCCCAAGCTCCGCATTACTGGAATAGATCTTCCCCAAACCGGTTTCCGGCCTTCGGATTTACTCGAGGAGACAGGGAATCGGCTGGCAAAGTATTGTGAGCGCTTTAATGTTCCTTTTGAGTATCATGCCATTGTAACAAAGAAATGGGAGGTGCTCAAAGTTGAGGATCTGAAGATTGAGAAGGGTGAGGTGCTTGCTGTGAACTGTTTGTTTCGCTTTAATCACCTACTTGATGAGACAGTAGTAGTAGACAGCCCAAGGAATGCTGTTCTAAAATTAATCAGGCAGTTGAATCCCAATATTTTCATCCATGCTCTTGTTAGTGGATCTCACAGTGGTCCCTTCTTTCTCACTAGGTTCCGCGAAGCACTTTTCCATTTTTCTTCAGTGTTTGATATGTTCGATGCAACTCTATCCCATGACAATCAGATGAGGTATACTTTTGAGCAGGTGTTCCTTGGGCATGAGGCCATGAATGTTATTGCATGTGAAAGCTCAGAGAGGGTTGAGAGGCCTGAGACATACAAGCAGTGGCAGATTCGCAAAATGAGGGCTGGTTTCAAGCTCCTTCCATTGAACCAGGAGGTCATGAAGAAATTGAGGGATAAGGTTAGGAAAGGGTACCACAAAGATTTTGTATTTGATCAAGACGGCCATTGGATGTTGCAGGGATGGAAAGGTCGAATTTGCTGTAGCTAGCTCCTGTTGGGTACCTGCTTAGAAGTACTTGAAAGCATTTTATTAGACTGGGAATGCAGTCGAGGAAATTCTTCCAGGGGTGTCCTGTCGATAATATAGGAAAATAAAAGCAAAGGTACTTCTTTAGTTCTGGCTCCAACTCCCCCCACTCCCCTCTCTTCTGCCTGCCTGATTGATTACACATGCAACATGCACAACCAAATGAATGTAGTTGAGTACTTTAATGTGTGGGCAATGTATGTTATAGTTGGTACATTGCTAGGTATACTATTTCTGTTTTAACTCTGCATATTTGAACAACGAATGTGGGTGCCTGCCTTAACGTGTTCTGTTTGGAACATAAGCTTGACTTGGTTTGTGCTATCTGTTATTTATCTAGCATGTTTTGAAGGAGCTAACATTACAGGTGTCTTGTTGTCAGAATACGCTGGAGTATAACCTGCCTTCTTGCAGAACACCCTCATGGCTTGGAAGAAAATATGTCATGCAATATTGTCACCACTCACCAGCGCCTCTCTAGATTCATATATTGCATAAATAGATATGTGGCTGAATGCCTACTGGTCACGGTGTGAAAAATCGTCAAGTAACCATGCTGGACAGTTATGTGCCTGATCCTGACTTGCCATAACAAAGACTGGATAGTGGTTACAAGCTCATTGATGACGCTGTCATTTCTCCAGCACTGCCTATTAGTTTCTTGTCCAGATATTATGTTAGTAAATTATGTTCTTCCTTAAATATTCCGCTTCTGTGAATATTAGCATAGGACTGGATTTGTCACTTCTGCTTCTTGCTTGTGGATTTTCCCATGAGCTAAGTAGTTGCATCATTCAGAAGTATCAATGGAAGTTGACTTATAAAGTTTTGTTATATTCCATCTTTGTTTCTTGGTACAGTGTTCATTAGTATTAATGTAATTTCTTTCCATAAAATGGACAGTTGACGCGGAATTGTTTTAGGTGACTATTCGCCGAGGAGATGATTTGTAATTCATTCATAGGATGTCGGTAGTTCTTCTATGTTGGTCACCTGTTTACCCTTGCTTTTATGTTTGATTATTGTAATTGAGTAAACCAAGTTTTTTGAATCAATTAAATTGTGCTACAGGGTCATGTATTTAGGAGGTTGGAACATATAATAGTAAGTTCAAACATGATGTTGTGACGGGGCATTCCTAGATATCCAAAACCATGGACTCTACTGTAATTTGTTCGGCTAGTTATGAGAGTTCTTTGGTGTCTCCAATTGGTTATTGATGATGCCACGATCAGCAAATAGACTTTTATTCGTCGCAGCTGGATCTCAAATGGCAAAATTTCATCAGTGCCATGGATGGAATGAACATCTTGAATAGTAGTAGTATACTTCCAATCTATTGCGGGTCCTGGGTTGATTTACTTTATTTCATGTGCTGGCCATATGTTTCTTCTCACGAAACTATGAATATGATGAATTATACAACTAATTACTTGTACTCCACTGCAACAATCTAGTGTACCGGATTTGCTACAAGGTTTTGACAAAAAGTTAAATATACGTAGTCTTCCTCCTTCATGAAAAAAGACCTTTTTTTTTTTTTGTATTTAAATCTGTAATACCTAGATCACAATAAGTCGACTTTATTGTTGCGTCAAGTCCTATGGTAATTTGTCCGGTGACGGATTCAAAATATCGACCGGGTGATGCAATTTTTATAAAACAAAAAAAGGAGTAACCTTCCAACAAGCAGAAGAGCTATGCAAAATGATGTTATCAGAAGAGTAGATGTGAATCAATTTTTTCTGGTTTCTAGTCTACAGTAGATTTGAATTACATCTGAAATTTTAGACTAATATAATATAATTTAGTCTACCAAGGGTTTACCAAGGGTTTTGGGGGGATGAATTTGGTCCACCAAATGCGTTCATTGTTGACTAATATAATATAATTTAGTGACTTTTTTTGTTGTGGAAAACATAATAATTTTTGGAATCTTTTGTCTGCACTTTTAGAATTTCATAACTTAAGCAAACAGTCAATTCAATCCCAGGCTGGTAAAAGGGTCAATCAAACCATTTCTTTTTCTTCTCCTTAATCTTATTTTCTTCATAAACACACGTGTGGTAGGCAGTTGGGTGGCAACTCGTATGACCTAGACCTTAAAATTGTAGCAAGTTTGAATCCTTGGCTGCTTCCTATGGTAGAAATTATTATGGTATCGAAAATTATTTTTATTTTTATAATATCAAAAGTTTTGATTCAATTGAATTACATTACGATTTTTATATATGTCAAGTTGTGATTTAATGTAATCGATTAAAATTGATCAAAAGAAAATATACAGTTCATACTTCAAATTAGAAGAGTAAAAATCTTTATTACGATTGACAAGCCATACTCTTCCACTTGATAAACCACTTCTGTCATCCTCTTGCTCAGACACATACAATACATACACCCACAGAGCTCAATCAGCTCTCTCTGCTCACACCCCTGCTCTTTTCATTTTTCACAATCTGAATTTCTTGTGGAGACTTTCTGGGGTTGATGGGTCAATAATATTGCTTGATGTATGACATGGTAAAATGATTCAGAAGAATTGAAAAGAGCAAAGAAAATAAGTATTAAATAATGATCTTCAATGTCAATTGGAAATCGATTTAAAATTAAGATCCAGTCAATTGGAAATTGATTTAAAATTACGATCCAATCGACTTAAGTAAGTATTGGTTCAAATATGTCAAAGTTACGACTTAATAAACTTGGATAGAATTCATCTCAACAACCTAAGATTGAACCCTTTTTTTGGGTTGAATATCATTGAGTGCTGATAATTTTTTAAACGTATTTGTAAAGCTATCAATTTTGGTATGTAGAATTTTCTATCTTCGATTGGTCAATAACATTGTGTGATGTGTAACATGATAAACTGATTCTAGAAGAACTGACAAAAACAAAGAAAATAAGAAAGTAATTCAACAAGAAACAAGAAACAAGAAACTAGGGGCTGTAAATGGAATTATCCAGAAGCCACCCAACACGGTATTCCTTCTCACCCATGGCTTTCTTGGTGGTTCAGTGGTCATTGTCTGAAACGTCGCTGAGTGCCAAATAATAGAGCTTAAATAAGGCGACCGGTGAAATCATAGTCAAGCCAAACACCTTTTATCCTTTCATGACAGTCAATATATTATGGAATAAAATGCTGATATGGTGTGCCCGTCTATTAATTTCTAAACATGCATCCATATAAATTTATGCTCCATTTAGTACAATAAAAATGTAGAAAGATAAAAAATTAGAAGGATGAAAAATTAGAAGAATAAATAAAACATCGTGTTTGGTAAGTAAGGAAAGTAGGAAGGATGGATAAGTGGATGAATTAACTTTCCTTCTAACTCACAAAAATCAATCTCTCCAAAATCGGAAGAAAAGTGGATGAAAAATTAATTATTTATATTGAGATATATCTTATTTGTCTATATTTTTTTTTTATATATATAGATATTATGTATACATTAATTTCATATAAAAATACAATGTTAATATATATATATGTATATATATATATATATATATATATATATATATATGATATATATATATATATATATATATATATTTAAAAATTTTAAAAATAAAAAATTAAAAAAATAATAAAAAAATAAAAACAAAAATTTTAAATTTAAAAAAAAATATTTTTTTTCATTTTAACTAAGGGTGAAAATTTTCGATTCAACACGATGACAAGCTTCGAACTCGATACGAAAATAAACAGATCAACTCGCAACTCGACACGACACAATTAGTTAAATGAGTTAAATTAAGTTTGACTAATATTCGACATAAACCCGTAATTACTCAACACAAATCTGATAGACATAAACCCGTAATTACTCAACACAAATCTGATATGATACGACTCGATTGTCACCTCTAATCTTAGTTAGCACAAAAAAAAAAAATAGTCATTGTTATTTTCCATTCATCCAGCCTAACACGAAGGAAGAAAAGTGTATCCTTCCTATTTTTCATCCTTGAAGAATAAAAATTGTATCCTTATTACTTTTCATCATCTCTACCAAACAAAGCAATAAAGAGTAATAATTTTGAGATGATCCAAAATACAAAACTCCTACTGGTGACGGAACTATGCATAGGCCTTGGGGGTCCATGACCCCTCACATTTTGAAAAATTACCATAGACATCCATATATGTTTTTAGAAATTTTTATTGCTACCTCCTTGGTTTTTAAGTCCAATTTATAAGTATTTTAGGTGTGTTTGTTAATCCAAATTCAACACTTAAAATAAATGTATTATGCACTTATTAATTAAGTTTGTTTGATAACTAAAATTTGAATATCTTAATATATTAAGTACACCTCCAAAATAGGCTAAAATATTATATAGGAGATTCATTACTTAATTTTGAAAACTGAAAGTTGAAAGTATTGAGCAAAAATATTTTTAATAATATATATAATATGACAATTCTACCCCGAAATTATTCACAATCCTATTAAAACTCTAATTAGTGTTCTTTTCAAAACCCCTGATCTTTATATCCTCCCCACCACTAGTTCTTTTTCCCGTCGTCATCTTCAGGGATCACATAGGTAAGTTGCTTCTTCCATTTTCTTCTTCATTGCACACATACACACATAATTACATTCGCACAGTACATAAGGCACACATACACAAGTTGCACATACATACATATTCTACACATGCATACACAGATATACACACACAAATCACATGCGTGCACACTCGCACGCGCGCGCACACACTGCACATGCATACACATATACACACTCTGCACATATTGTGTTATTCAATTTGTTATTATTCTATTTATTTTTATTATTGGTTAAAATTTATTTGTTAAATTATTTTATATGTATTTGTTGAATTAATTTTATTATCATTTAATTTTAACCTAAATCAATTTAACTTAAATCAATTTTATTATCATGTTTGTTAAATGTAGATTATAATATAATAATAATGATTGTTACTTATGTTATGAATTAAACTGATTTGATATATCGTAGTTTAACTTTTGATAAATATATATTTAATAAATATTTTTAAAGTAAAGAGTGGAACTTTAATAAATATTTTCAGTACTTAAATTTCAGTAGTTACCACACAGTTCACAAATTTAGTATTCAGCTTTCAATTTTCAGACTTCAACATTCAGTTTTATCAAACACCACCTTAGTGTACACAAAAATGATTAATGGCTCGATATTTAATAACTAAATAGTGGATGTAATCACATGGATTAATGATACTCCTACTGATAAAGACACTTGTTTGGATGATTCTGATAACTACACAAAAAAAAATAAGTAATTTTTTTTTCCAAAATTGAGTTGCAAATGTGGCTTATCTCAAAAGTAATGCATTGACTCATGTTTTATTTTTCCTATAGTATCAACCATCAAGGGAAACTATTATTACAAGGATAATTTATTTATAGCCATAAATTTATATCATAAATAAGAAAAAAAGAGGATAGTGATATTGTCACAAACTAATTTTTATTATGGTACGAACCAATTTATAATTTTTGTGACCCAAATTAACTTTGTAAGATGACATTGTAAAAATCAATTTTAACAGGTTCTTTATAAATTAAATTTTTTTGTCAACTATAATCGTCGAATAGCTTTGTTGAATAGAATCTGTCTATGTTATAATTTTGGGCCCTTAACATAAAATTTTACTTCTGTACCACTATAGAATATAGAGAGTATAAGATGTATTCAATCTAATCTTTTATGTAAAGAGACTCTTTCAATGAATGAAATTCATAAAAACGTTACCTTCAATAGTGACATTTAGAATTCCAAGTCATTCCTTCATGTGTGGCTAAAACAACTGGATTAACTGGGGAAAGCTAAATATGCTGTAATCAAGAGAACAGATTGCTGGATTAGAACCACTAAGTTCAGAATTGGAAAGTTACAGTGGTG